AACACTCCTTATAGTTTTTCAATCCTTGTCTACATCTAGCTGTGCTAGTAACTATTCTTTCAAATTAAGTGCTTGAGTTTGTAGCAAATGACTGCTCTGCTCACCTTATCTAGTGAAGATTTAAAAGGTCTTTCCTTGGGTGGTGGTGATTGTGAGAGAGGAGTTACTCAACAGAGATACTGGCAGCTAAACTGGCTTTTTGACAACACGTATATTTGGTGCTAGGAGGAAAAATGCATGCTTGATCTGAAAAGATGATGAGTTTAACTTGGGGTCAAGGTTGTGGTATTTTGCCGAATCTTGGTTGTAGGTTCTTGGTAGTTTGAAAACAAGATTGAGTTTTTAATTCATTTTGTGTATTCTTAAATCCTTAAGTAGTGCTGAGAATTTAAGGTTCGAAGTTTGTTGTTGTTGTTGTCCACTCCAAAAATAAATTGGGCCTTTCGTCTTTATAAGAACTCTTCAATAACTTCAGGGGTTACTTTGTTATATAAAAGTTTGCTGATGTCTTCGTTTGGTGTCTTCGTTTCTACCATAGCAACCCTTACTCCTGTTAGAAAAGAGGGACAAAAAATGAAGTCAGTAGATTTTAAGGTAATTTTCTAAACGGTCTCAGCTTTACTGTGCCTTAATAAGGAAAAGAGGTCATTTTCCAAGCTAATAGAAACAATTCCTTTTTTTTTTCCCCCTAATCATCTGGTACCTCTTGAGGGCCAAGTTTTCTTGACTTCACTATGGTATTTTAAATACAACTTGGAATTACTTCTTTTCTTCGACTACCTCTTTACACATTTTCCCTGAGTAATTTCTTTTGCGCCTATTATTTGGCCACAGGCTTCCTGAAATCAATATAAAAGTTCCTAAGAGACTGTTTCACTTAGCCTCTCAAAAAAAAAAAAAAAATTGCTAGTCAGCCTACATTTTATGACTTGGATGAGTTATACCTTAACCTTCCTTTTCTTTTTGTTCAGGTCATCATCCCTTCTTTATACAATTTTAATAGTCTAGCTAGATTCACATAGCCTTTTTGTGTCTACCTGCATGTTTAATCGTGTTACTCTACTACTTAAAACTAGTGCTCTCACTTCCCCATTTACTAGGAAAGAGGCCAGATTTATTGCTGTAGTCTCACCTTGATCTGGTTCTTGTCTGCTTCCTCTGCCTTTATTTTTCTAACACCCACTGATGTGCTAAAATGCATTTCATCCCAAGAGTGCTATGCTGTCTCATACCTTTGCCCACACTACCTGAAGTTTCTCTTTTCCCTCCTGGGTAGCGCAACTTGAAGCTGCCTTTTTTTTTTTTTGCCTCTAAAACTCTTCCAAGTTCCTACTACTCCCCCGTAATATGAGCCATTCTTTATATTGATGACCAGGCCCAGTGCTGGATACTTTATAGGCATTCAGATGTACGTGCTTCTTTAGCAATTGATAAGATTAAACATTTTACTAATAGACTTTACAGTCTGAACTGTAAAATACAGGCTTTTGAACTTTTTCAAGAGTTCTTTCTACCACCAGAGTTTGGAGATAAGACAAAGGGTTAGGAAGGCCCAGAGGCAGGATTTCCTTTCCTCCCCTTTCACATGGTGGCGTTCACATTAAATTCATTAGGTAAGATTTGGGAGAAGGGGGTGCAGCCAATGGGAGAGAGAGAGTTCTGCCCCACAAAAAAGGTGGGAAGAAAAAATAACTGGGCTGAGTATTTCTGAACATCCATACTTTGCAAATCTAGAGGATATTTTCACCTACAAATTTCAACAGTATATAAACACCAGTGATTATGTGGGTTTATAATCCCTTGATATGTTTGGGGCTTATCAATGTATGCAGCAGTGCTTGCTCTGATTTTAAGAGGACACAATTTGCTCTGTGCCCTTGAATTTAGTTTTTGTCCCTTTTCTTGACTCATTTATAGATGTCAGTGTGCCAGCCTCTCATAAGTTATATGTTTTCTACATGCCATGAAGTTTACATTCCAGTAACAGGACTTAGAATTGTATATAATTTGAAGCTTATGAAATAAGGCTCTTGTGAGTCAAGTTTGAGCTTGATGCATAAGCATCAGTGACCCTTTTGGCTGCTTTTAAACTTGGTGTATTTTTGGATAATGATTGTCTTAATACTATGTCATTTGACATATAACATTTTCTTCCACCTTCTACCTCAACCCCTTAACATTTAGTGTCCTCCTTGAAGCCATTAGAAATACATACACAACCTGATTAGTTTAACTTCTTATAAAATGTTATCTCGGTATATTCCTAGATAAGATGTTATTTATGGTAACACTAATCCTGAAATCCATATTTGCAGATAGTGGCCAAAAAAATAACTGAACTTTCAAGGGTTGTAAATACCTTGACTGAATTTTATAATTTTTTTTAATACAAGGAGAGCAGTCATAAGTTTATTCCTAAGTATCTGGAGAAACTTTTTGAAAGCTAACTGCATTCTGCTGTCCACAAAGATGAGGCCCGTAGTCTGCTCCCTCCTAGCTGTTAAGTTCAAGCTTGAAGCATCTTTACAGTATGGAATTTCATCTGGAAACCAGAGAAGCTACAAACTAGTACACTGTTGCCACCTAAATGAAACAAATAGGGAAGTACCAAAAGCTCATAGGGCTCCCTGGTTCTCCGGAGTGATTTTAGGGAGCTGACCTAATATCTTGCCATTCTGATTCTGAAGTTTAATGTCTCTCAGTGACAGTAATTTAACAGTATATCTGTTAAAAAGGATTGTTTAATGCACAGTGTAAACTGGAACAGAGCCAGTGAAGAACTATAAAATCTATCAGAGGCCCTTTATATATTTAAAGAAGTGAGTCAGTGGTAGTTCAAACAGAACAATTCTTCTGAATGTACCTTGTTTGTCAATTTTGCTTTTCCT